ATTTATTAATCTTTTCCTTTGGTGGATAACATAAGTTTGTTTGCAATTGAATTCTGAAAAGCCACTGAGGAAGGTTCTGTAGTATTATGGGCTCCAAGCTCTGGTAGCATAGTGCCTAAGGCACTTGACTGTTAACCAGAAGGCTGGCGGTTCAAACCCACCAGCCACTCCTCAGAAGGAAGATGGGGCAATCTTCTTCTGTAGTGATAACTGCCTCGGAAACCCAAGGAGGGGTTGCTATGAGTTGGGGCCGACTCCATGGCACATAACAACAACAACAACAATAGCTGGCCTCAGGACAATAGCTGGCCTCAGGAAGGGCCTCCCTACACTGGGAATGTCATGATAGGAAGAAAATTCCACCTGCTAAGCCTCATTTCCTTCCATGGGAAAGCAGTTGGCTCTTTCATGGGAGTAATGAGAATGATTTCATCACTTGCTATGGAAAATTGAAATAAAGCCCCTTGAATGGAAAGCAGGTTATTCTGTGAAGTCACTAGTTTGTAAGGCACTGGATTAATCAGGAATTGGGGCTTCATTAAATCATTCAGGAGTCATCTATGAAGTTTTAAGATACCTGAGAGGAGACTATAAACTCATCCAGAACTTCAGAAGTTTGTAGATTACTTGTATAAAATGGCCCAAATTTGGAAATTGAGGACAACTTTGTATTTAAAGCATCAGAAACTGCTTTAAAACAGACTGTTTTGAAATAGCTTATAGTAATAAACAAAACAAAACAAATCCACTGCCATCAGGTAGATTCTGACTCATAGCAACCTCCACTGGGTTTCCAAGGCTGTAAATCCTTACCGAAGCAGATTGCCTCATCTTCCTCTAGTGGAGCAGCTGGTGAGTTTGAACCTCCAGTCTTCCGACTTGCAGTCAATGTCTTAGGCACTGCACCACCAGAGCTCCTTAGAGTAATACCTTATAGTACTTAGAAAATTACTGTGAAATAGCTTATAGTAATTAGAAAATGCTTTTGAATGTAGCACAAATGAATGAGTCTTGTTATTTTCACAACCTGAATTAATTTTTTAAAATGTCAAATAGAAATAGAAGTGGCTTTGCTGCACTTCCGATTACAGAAACAATGAATGCATGGTAATATAAAAAGAAAAAAAAAAAAAAGGTGTGTGTCTGGGAGGATATAACCAAAAGGAAAGTTAAACCTCAATTTGCGCGTTCTACACCCCCTTCCCCAGCCCATTTTGGTGTAGACCAGTGGACTGAGGAAGTGGAGGTTGTGTAGGGAGGGTGGGAAGCATAGGTTTTATAGCCTAAGAGAAAAAGAGAGGATTCCTCAAAGAAGCAGAAAAGCCCAAGGCCTGTGGAGGAGGGTATGGGGCCCCAGACTCTCCCTGGTAACCAGAGAAGCGCAAAGTCCATTTGCACGGCAGCACGGTGAAACCACTTGTGGGCCCTGGGATCCGAGAGGATTGAGATGAGAGACAGGTAGTGCGCACAGGGACACTGCACACAGAAAGGGGGGTGTCCGTGTGTGTGTATGTGGCAGGGTGGGGGGTTGGAGGGGTCCTACCTCACTGCCCGCCCCCTGGGGGGGGGGGGGGGGAAGGGCAAGCTTGAAGATGACGCGCGGCTCTCACGTGACCGGGAGCTGCAGAGCGACGCAGCTTTTAGTGCAGTCGTCACTCGCGTCTGGGTACCAGGTCCCCGCTGCCTGGCTCACGGCGGGCTGGCATCGGGCCCGGGCAAAGCGCAGCAGGTAAGGCCCCGGGCTGGCGCACCTCACTGAGTCGCAGTCACCCGCTGAGGTTTGTATGGGGATGGGAGAGGGCAATGCGGGCTCAAAGTGGAGAACCCTTAGCCTGGGATTCTCCCTACACCCCAGCACTGCTCCCACCCCCCACCAATGTGTGTGCAAGGAAACCAGGAGCTATGACTGGGCCAATAGTGGACGGAGTGCCTGCAGAGGGAAATACAGGTATTAAGATGCCCATCCTTTTCTTTGATTCTAATCACTCACTGCACATGTCTATTCCACCTCCTGCCCATTGCAGGGGAAGGAATGCGCCATGGTGGCATTTACAGAGAAAATGGTGGGCCATAGTGATTGGACAGCGGGGATGGTGGAGGTAGTTTCTCTGAGTGGGGGGAGGGATGTTTGGGCTCTGAATCCTGGATGCTGGTCCAATAACCCAGTGCCTTTACTCTTTACTGTCTGTGCACAGCAGTTTGGTGTGGCCCCTTTTGTGACCAGGCAAGGGAAGAAGGAGAGGAGAAAACTGCCCAGTATCTGTGGAGGTTAGTGTGAGCAGGAGTTTCAATATAAATTCTATTTGACAGGGTTTTAGATGCCACTCTGTGGTTGGGATATGCAATGAGGCTAGCTAGGGAACTTTTCTTAGACTGCCTTTGCTGACTATCTTATCTAGTGTTGCCACAACAGAAATACCACAAGTGGATGGATTTAACAAACATTTATTTGCTCACAGTTTAGGAGGCTAGAAGTCTGAATTCAGGGTACTGGCTCTAGGGGAAAGCTTTCCTTCTCTCTGTTGGCTCTGGGGGAAGGTCTTTGTCTCCTCCTTTCAACATCTGTGGGCCCAGCTTTCCTTGGAGATCTACACGTGTCTTGACTTCAATTTTCCCCTGGGTCTAGGCGATTCTCAGCGAAGGGACTCTGGGTCCAAAGGATGTGCTCCACTCCCAGTTCTTCTTTCTGGGCAGTAGTCATGTCCCCCTTTCTCTTCTGGCTTCTTTCTCCTTTGATCTCTTCTAAGATAAAAGGTGATGCAGGCCACACCCCAGGGAAACTCCCTTTACTTAGGATCAGGGCTGTGACCTGAGTAAAGGCGTTTCATCCCACCCTAATCTCCTTAATTAATTGGCTAACCACATCATGGGGGATGATTGCATCATTACGGAATTGCCAAATTACATCATGACATAACTGCCAAACCACTTAGAATCATGGCCCAGCCAAGTTGACATATATTTTTTAGGGCACACAGTTGAAGCCATGACAGTGACCAAGCTTAGGATTTTTAATTTAGGTATATGTTGATGATCAATAAAAACAACAAACTTTTCTATGGATGCTTTTATTTGCAATTCAGACAAGAAAAACCAGTTGTTGTATCATATGATACTACTATTTTTTGTGTATCTTTGTGATGGAGGAGGTAGTGATTTTACTGAAGCAAAAGCCTTCCCCTACATCTTATCTCCTCTACTGCCAGAGACTCCTGGAAATGATGGGATTAAGGGGAGCAGATGGCAAGCAGCTCTCATTATAGGGCATGGGATGGGGAGACCTACATCTCTCCCACAATCCTCCGGTTTTTCAGATACCCTCACTTACCTGACTGTCTTGATGAAGGAAGTCGTGGTCTTTTTGGGGAAAGGCCTGGAACCCTACAGGTGATTTTCAACCATTTGCCTTTGTTTTTCCCCTTTTACTTTTTTTGCCTCCCTTTACAACTCTGCCCGTTTCAGTGCTGGGGAAGACCCAGGTTCTGCCTGCCAGGGAAATGGATTTCTGAATCAAGAAAGGCAGGTATGGGAACCCATGTCTTTCATGCTAGGTTGTCACACACACTCAATATCCACACTCTTTTTTTCTTTGTGTTCCTAGGTCTCCGCATAGGCCTACAGTAAAGTGTTTACCACTAGAAACAAGAGAAAGACGGGGAGACTGGCTTGGAGATATGGAGGTTAGTGTGAAGGTGGTCAGTGTCTAGGGGACAAGAGAGGGTGGGCATAACAGGTGGCTGAGACTTTAGAGTGTCTCATAGGAGGCATTTCTGCCTTTCCTACATTCTGCCAGATTTCCACAGTACTGTGACACCCTCCCCCTGTTTATTCTGGTGCAAGAACTAGCGGGACTACTGGAGTAAAGGTTGGCTGGAGTGAGACTGAAAGGAGATTTGAGAGGGGAGCCGCAAGATAGGATATATTAGCTAACTGGATCTGGGCTCTGGAAAGGCAGGTTTGGGGGTCAGGGACCAGGGTGGTTGTCTGTTTTACCAAGGACTCAGTCTTCATTACCCCCTGTTTATTTATTGGTCCTTAGATCTGGCTGTAGGTCTTCCATAGGGATTGGCACCACTGGAAGCAAAGAAACAAGAGGAAATTATCCCAAATCAGTTTAGACTGGTAAGAGGGTAGGGACTGCCTGTGCAGACCTATGGGTGGGTTGGTGGAGACCACTGTGCATCTAGTAAGGATCAGTGTCCAGTCTGGAGATTTTTCTGCCTCTCCTTTTCCCAGAAATGCTTTCCACCACCCCTATAACCTACCCCAACCCTAATTCTCACCTTTGTTTTGGTACATAGAAAGAGTGTGATAGCACTTGGAGGAGTGGGGTGAAATGAGGTGAGAAGAGAGGTAGTTTACTAATAATATGCCTATCCTATCAAGAACAAAATCTCTACTCCTATCTGTTCTTCTGTTCTGTCTGCCTGTCTCTAAGTCTAAAGATCTTAATAATTTATAGATCTACTTCAAGTTGTATCATCAATCAAGAGAAAGAAAAGGAGGGGACTGCCTCAGATCATTAAAGGTTGGTATGAGGACGGGGAATTATGGGAGTGATGACCAGAGTAGGTCCAGTAAAAATCAAGGTTTGGAGGCTTCTCAGTTTCCCACTCAAAGCCAGCTCTCCCACCATCCTGCCCACTGTTTATTTGGTGTAGGGAAATGTGCATGGAAACACCTTGGGGGAAAATTGTTGGGAACTGGAGAACATGAAGAGAGGGTGAAATAAGAGGGTTGGAGAGAAATTTTGCTAATCATCCACTTCTCCCACCAAATAAATTATTTCTTTTTCCTGTCTCTCTGTGTATCTGTATGATGCAACAGAATTAGAAGAGAAAATTTAGTCCCATTTCCTTCCCCATTCCTAGGTCCACCTCCAGTGTCAGCTGTAGTGGCCTTTGAGTGGCTGAAGACCTATGCCCAGACCTACCATCTTCTTTTCTCAGCCTGAGTGAGCACTCTCTGCATCTTGTTCGTGCCTTCATAGGGGTGATTACATGGGCCGCATTCAGGAAGTGGGCTGGGTGACTGCAGGACTGGTGATCTGGGCTGGCACCTGTTACTACATTTACAGATTAACCAAGGGAAGAGCCCAGAGTGTGAGGAGGTTGACCAGAAATGGGTCCAGAGTCAAGATGGAGCCTGTGGTTGAGGTACAGAACCAGACTTTGGCCATGAGTGACACCATGGCTATGGTAGAGATTGAGACTATACCCAAGGCCAAGATTGGAGCAGGAACTGGAGCAAGAGGGGAGACTAGGGCTGAAGTAGCCCTAGTCACTGCTAAAGTCAGACCCAAGGCCAACTCCCAGGCCAAGGCAATGACTGAGGCAGAGGCCAAGGCAGAAGCAGAGCCTAAATCTGAGGCCAAAGCAGCTGTTGGAACAGTAGTGAAGACAGAGGCAATGACTCTGACTGGGGCCAAGGCCAAAGCCAGGGAAATTTCCAAGAAAGAGGCAATGACTCAAACTGAAGTAGAAGCTGAGAGAGTAGTAAAGAAAGAGGCAATGACCCAGACCAAGGCTAAAGCTTGGGCACTGGCTGCCAGGGCAGAGGCCAAGAAAGAAGCAATGACCCAGACCAAAGCTGACACTTGTACATTGGTTTTAAAAGAGACAGATGTTAAAAGAGTAATGGTGACACAGACTGAGGTCTTGGCAGTGACCAAGGAAATAGCCAAGATGGGAGCCTTGAACAAGATTGGAGATGTGGCTGAAACCAAAGCAAGAACCATGGAAGAGACTATGAGTGTAACCAAGGCTCAATCTGAGGGCAGGCCTGGTGCCACAGTTGAGGCTAAGGGAGACCTTAATGTCATGTCTTGGGTAGTGGCTAGAGTGGACATGAGGTCTTGTGCACAGTCTCAGGCTGTGGACAAGATCCAAGTTGAGGCTACGTCTGGTGCCAAGGTTGATGACAGGGGAAATATCAATGTTATATCTAGGGCAATGGCTGGAGTTGACATGAAAGCTGCTGTTCAGCCTCAAGCTGTTGGTGGTACTCAGGCTGAGGCCATGCTTGATGCCATGGTTAAAGCTAGAGGCAAACCCAAGGCTGCATCTAAATCTGGGACCAGGGCAAACCTGAAGGCCAGTGCCCAGGCTGAGACCTTGCCTGATGCCAGGGTTAAGGCTAGAGGCAATCCCAATACCATGGCTAAGGCAGAGGCTGAGATAGACATATCCTGTAAACAGCCTCAGCCTTTGGCTAATGGCCAGGCTGATGCCTTGTCTGATGGCAGAACTAAAGCTAGGGCCAATACTAGTACCACGTCTAATGAAGGAGCTGGGACAGACATGAAGACACAGCCCCAGGCTACAACTAAGAGCCAGGTTGAGGGTTTATCTAATGCTAAACGTAAGGCTAAGGGCAAAGCCAATGGCAAGTGTAAGGCAAAAGTTGGGGCAGACATGAAAGCCTTTGCACAGCTTCAGGCTGGGAACAAAACCCAGCCTGAGGCTGCATCTGATTTTAGGGTTGATGGCAGGGGAGATCCTAATGCCATTTCTAGGGTAGGGGCTAAGACAGCCAGTTCCCAGGCTGAGGACTTGCCTAATGGTGGGAATAAGACCAAGGGCAATTGCAGTGTTGCGTCCAAGGCAGAGACTGGGGAAGGCAAAAGGGACTCTGCACAGCCTCAGACTGTGACCAGTTCCCAGGCTGACACCTTGCCTGGTGGCAAGAAAAAGGCCAGGGGCAAACACACTGCAGTGTCTAAGGCAGAGGCTGGGGCAGATACAAGGGACTCTGTCCAGCCTCAGACTGTGGCCACTTGCCAAGTGGAGGCCTTGTCTGGTGCCAGAAATAAGGCCGGGAGTAATGCCAATGTCGTGTCTAAGGCAGAGGCTGGGACAGATACAAGGGACTCTGTCCAGCCTCAGACTGTGGCCAGTTCCCAGGTTGAAGCCTTGCCTGGTGGCAGGAATAAGGCCAGGGGCAATCCTAATGCTGCGTCTAAGGCAGAGGCTGGGGCAGATACAAGGGACTCTGTCCAGCCTCTGACTGTGGCCAGTTCCCAAGTGGAGGCCTTATCTGGTGCCAGGAGTAAGGTCAGGGGCAATTCCAATGCTGTGTCTAAGGCAGAGGCCAAGGCTAATACAAAGGACTTCGTCCAGCCTCACACTGTGACTAATTCCCAGATCGAAGCCTTGACTGGTGCCAGAAATAAGGTCAGGGGCAATCCCAATGCTCTGTCTAAGGTGGGGGTTGGGGCAGATACAAGAGACTCTGCCCAACCTCAGACTGTGGCCAGTTCCCAGGCTGAGCTCTTGCCTGGTGCAAGGGACAAGGTTATGCCCAGGTCTGAGGCAGAAGTCACAGCAGATGTTGAGGTCTGTGCAAATCCTGAGGCTGAGTCCATGCCAGTTTCTGAGAGTGAGGTTGGGGCAGGCATTCAGGCCCACAGAAAAACTCACCATAAGGTCCACCACTGTTACTGGAATGGGATTGGTATTGAGGATTGGATTGCTGCTGAGCGGTGGGTCAAATTTAGGTTTCAGGCAAGGGATGGATACTGGGAGAATAGCATGTCCTGGGCTGAGGATGAGAATGAAGTCAGTATTGAGTCTTGGAGTGGGGCTAATGATGAGGCTGGTATTAATAGGTCCTGGGCTGGTGCTGGGGCTAGGGCTGAAAATGAGGTTAGTATTGAATCCTGGGCTGGAGCTGGGAACCAGATCAGTGAAGGTTCCTGGGTCATTGAGTCTGGGAACAAGGCCAATGGTGGGCCCTGGGCTGAGGATCAGGCCAGTGAAAGGTCCTGGTCTGAGATAAAGGCCAGTGGGAGTTCCTGGTCTGGGGCTGGGAATAAGGCTGCTGGAGAGCTCTGGACTGGTACTGAGGATCAGACCAGTGGGGAGTCTTGGGCTGGGAAAAAGGCCATTAGAGCATCCTGGACTGGGGCTGAAAACCAGGCAAGTGGGGGTTCCTGGGTTGGGGCTGAGGATCATGCTGGTGGTGAGTCCAAGCCTATATTTGAGGATAAGACCAGTGGAGTAGGATCCTGGGCTAGGGCTGGTGGCCAGGATGGTGGAGAACACAAGTTGGGGCCAGAGGACCAGTCTAGGGGTGAGTCCTGGTTTGAGGCTGAAGAACAGGCCAATGGAAGGTCCTGGGATGGGGCTGGGATTGAGTCTAGTGAAGGGTCCTGGGCTAAGGCTGAGGACCAAGCCAGTGGAAAGTACTTTTCTGAATCTGGGGACCACGCTGGTGAAGGGTCCAGGCTGGTGCCCAAGGACCAGTCCAATGGATGGTTCTGTGCTTGTACTGGAAATCAGGCCAGTAGAGCAGAATCCTGGGCTGGAACTGGTGGCCAGGCTAGTGGAGGATCCATGCTGGGGCCAGAAGACCAGTCCAGGGATGGATCCTGGGCTGTCACTGGGAACCAGGTCAGTGGAGAATCCTGGGTTGGGGCAGAGGATCAGGATGGTAGCTGTTCCAAACCTGTATTTGAGGATAAGGCCACTGGAAGAGGGTCTTGGACTGGGTCTAGGCCTGTTAATGGGGCTGGTAGAGGGTCTAGACTGGGGCCTGAAGATCAGGCCAGTGGAGGGTCTTGGACTAAGGCTGAGGACCAAGCTAGTGGAAGGTACTTGTCTGAGGCTCTAGACCAGTCCAGTGGAGGGTCCTGGGCTTACACTGAGGACCAGGCTGGTGAAGGGTCTAGGCCAGGGCCCTCAGATCAGTCTAGTGGTGAGTCCTGGCCTGGTATAGTGATTCAGGCCACTGGATCCTGGATTGGGGCAGGAGATCAGGATGGTGACTGCTCCAAACCTGAATTTGAGGATCAGGCCAGTGGAGGTGGGTCCTGGGTTGAGTCTAGGCCTGTGAATGGAGTCAGTGGAAGGTTTAGCCTGGGGCCTGAGGACCAGGCCAGTGGGGGGTCTAGTCTGGGGCCTGAGGACCAGGCCAGTGCAAAGTACCTGTCTGAGGCTCTAGGCCAGTCCAGTGGAGGGTCTTGGGCTTACACTGAAGACCAGGCTGGTGAAAGGTCTAAGCCAGGGCCCTCAGACCAGTCTAGTGGTGGATACTGGGCTGGTACATTTAATCAGGCCAAGGGATCCTGGATTAGGGCAAGGGATCAGGCTGGTGACTGCTCCAAACCTGGATTTGAGGATCAGGCCAGTGGAAGTGGATCACGGGCTGGGTCTAGGCCTGGGAATGGAGCCAATGGAGGGTCTAATCTGGGGCCTGAAGATCAGGCCAGTGGAGGGTCTTGGACTAAGGCTGAGGACCAGGCCAGTGGCAGGTACTTGTCTGAGTCTGTAGACCAGTCCAGTGGAGGGTCCTGGGCTTACACTGAGGACCAGGCTGGTGAAGGGTCTAGGTCAGGGCCCATGGACCAGTCTGGTGGTGGGCCCTGGGATGGTATATTAAATCAGGCCAGGGGATCCTGGATCGGGACAAGAGACCAGGCTGGTGACTGCTCCAAACCTGGATCTGAGGATCAGGCCAGTGGAAGTGGATCCTGGGTTGAGTCTAGGCCTAGGAATGGAGCCAGTGGACGGTTTAGGCTGGGGCCTGAGGACCAGGCCAGTGGAGGGTCTTGGACTAGGGCTGAGGACCAGGCTAGTGAAAGATACTTGTCTGAAGCTGTAGACCAGTCCAGTGGAAGGTCCTGTGCTTACAGAGAGGACCAAGTTGGTGAAGGGTCTAGGCCAGGGCCCTCAGACAAGTCTAGTGGTGGATTCTGGGCTGGTACATTTAATCAGGCCAAGGGATCCTGGATTAGAGCAAGGGATCAGGCTGGTGACTGCTCCAAACCTAGATTTGAGGATCAGGCCAGTGGAGGTGGATCCTGGGCTGAGTCTAGGCCTGGGAATGGAGCCAGTGCCAGTGAAGGGTATAGTCTGGGACCGGAGGACCAGGCCAGTGGAGGGTCTAGGCTATGGCTTGAAGACCAGGCCAGTGGAGGATCTTGGACTAGAGCTGAGGACCAGGCCAGTGGAGAGTCCCCAGTCAGGGCTGTGGTGAGTGCTAACAAAGGATCCTGGTTTGGAGCTGTAAATGAAACTGGTATAGGGTCTTGGTTCTGGGAAGGGGAAGAAGCCAGTACTGTGTCTGGCCCTGGAGGTAAGGAAGCCAGTGTCAAATCCCAATCAGGGATTGGGAAAGAGACCGTCATTAGTTCCAGGTTTGGGGTTGAGGACAAGACCAGTACTGGGTCCTGGATACAATCTGATGAGGCAGCCTATATGGATTCCTGTGCAGGGGCCAAAGCTGGGGCTGAAGCCAGCATGGAGTCTTGGTTTTGGGATGGAGATGCAACCACTAAAGGGTCTAGTCTTGGGGCTGAGAGAAAGCCTGGCCTAGGGTACTTGAATTTGGCTGGGGATGTAGATGAAGATGAGCTAAGTATAAGGTCCATCCCTGACATTGAGGAGATCAGTTTAAGGTCCATGTTTTGGGCTGAGAGAGAGGACAGTATTGAGTTCAGATCGAAGATTGGGAAATATGTCAAATTTGAGTGTGGGGCTGGAGATAAGGCCAGAATCAAGGATAAGCCTGAGGCTGTTGGTGAAGTTAGTGTAAGATCTTGTTTTGCTGATAATGAAGCCAGAAGCCAAGGCAAATATAAACCCAAGGCTCAAGCCGAAAGGTCAACTGAGTCTAGAGGCATATATTCATCCATGGTTCCTGGGGCAAGAATGGGGTCATGGGCTAGAGCCATGATCTGGACAGAAATGAAGTTTCCATACCAAAATGAGTCCTTCTTCCCACCTGAAGATGAGCTCAGAAAGCAGATCAGGGCTGGGGAGAAGATTCGGCCCTGGGCCTGCCGCTGTAAACGTGAAGCTAATATGGATCCTCGAGAGCTTGAAAAACTCATTTGCATGATTGAGATGACTGAGGATCCTTCCATTCATGAAATAGCCAATAATGCCCTTTTTAATAGCTCTAATTATCCCCATTCCCAAGAAGTAGTTCGTAATGTAGGTAAAATCTCAATTATTGAAAGCTTGCTCAGTAATCCTTACCCTAGTGTTAGGCAGAGGGCATTAAATGCACTAAATAACATCTCAGTGGCTGCTGAAAATCATAGGAAGGTTAAAACATACATAAACCAAGTATGTGAAGACACTGTTACCTATCCTGTGAATTCGAGTGTGCAGCTAGCTGGACTAAGATTGATAAAGCAACTGACTGTTACTAGTGAATATCAGCATATGGTTACAAATTATATTTCAGAATTTCTTCGTTTGTTAACTGTGGGAAGTGGAGAAACTAAAGACCATATTTTGAAAATGCTTTTGAATTTCTCTAAAAATCCATCTATGACAAAAGACTTGCTCATTGCCAATGCACCAACATCACTGATTAACATCTTTAGCAAGAAAGAGACAAAAGAAAATATTCTTAATGCTCTTTCACTATTTGAAAATATAAATTACTATTTTAAAAAAAGAGCAAAAGTATTTACCCAGGACAAGTTCAATAAAAATTCTCTTTACTTCATATTCCAACGACCTAAAGTATGTGCCAAGAAACTTCGAGTCTTAGCAGCAGAATACAATGACCCTGAGGTGAAAGAAAAAGTTGAGTTATTAATAAGCAAACTCTGATTGGCTGTATGGTTCCAAACAAATTTGAATAATATTTTAGTTTTGTACCCTGGAAGCAATGCACATTGTAAATTCCATTGTAACTTCAAAACTGATGGTTTATAGCTGGACCATTTTATGTACACCAAATGAATTCAAAATTGTAATGAAAATATATGTGTTGATTTTTACCTTGCTTGGATTAAGATATTTTTAGTATGCTTCATGAGCAGAAACTGAACTGATTCTACGTAAGATAATTTTTGGTCCTTTGTGTGGACTTATGTTTATACATTTGAGACTTTATTTTTATGTTATCAATAAAGTTGTGGGTTTTAAGCAAAAAAAAAAAAATGACATCGTCTTTGCCTTTGAGTTTATAATCTGTTTGGGAAGATAAGATACATGGAAACAACAAGATGATCATGGCCAGATGCTTTCCGTTGGTGCTTAGAGGAGACAGAAGTTGCTGTGGGCAACAGTGCTCAGGGAAGTTTTACACAAGAGGGGGGCACTTAAGTAAGCTGGCTTGAAGGCTAGGGTAAACAAGGGTCAGAAAGGCATTTCAGGAGAGAGGAGTGATGGGAAGACAACCATGGAAGTGGGAATATGCTTCAGAGAGGAGGCCCGCTTGCCTGGGGTGGAAAGAGTGGGGAAGGGAAGTGAACAGAGGAGTGAACTCTGTGACTAAGGTGTCTGAATTATTACTCCATCCACCCCCAGAAGCCACCAAAGCCTTTTATGACTGTATGAAAGGAAAATGAATGTGACTGGTCTGTGTGAAGGATGGATTGTAGTGGGGTGGGGAGAGTGGTGGCAACTTGGAGATTGGAAAATCAGTTAGGAATATAGCACCATAGTCCACGAAAGAGATGCTAAAAGCATGACATTCCACTGGTGACTGGGGGATGGTAAGGGGAGGATGGATGAGAGAGGCACTTAAGAAGATTAAGTGTTGAAACCTGTTTTAAGGGCATACAGAGAGGGACAATTTTATGATCCAGGGGTTATTTGATAGGAAGATATCCTCTTTCTTGGCCAGCTAGTATTCATGTAGCTGAGTAAGTTAACTACTATATTGAAGCCATAAGAAAATGTAGTCATATAAAGAATAATTTTCAGTACTTAGATTTATAAGGTTGGGTGAGCAAGGCCTTCGTGGGACCATTGAGAGAGATGTTGGGATTCATATAGAAGGTCTGCCTCTCTTCTGCCCCATAGTGTTGGTGAAGATGTGGCAAAAGGGATGCTTTCCAAATGTACTGGTTGGTGGTAGTATACATTGGTACAAGGTCCATTTGGACATGTGTTTCAGAAGCCTTCACGATGTGCACATATTTTGACTCAACTATTCTACTTGTGGAAATTTAGCTTTGGTAAAAAGGTTTGTACAAAATTGTGCATCTTCACATTGTTTTTTTTATTATTATTGTGATTTGGGTGAAGATTTACAGAGCAAATTCACTTTCCATACAGCAGTTCACATATACTTTGTCTCATGTCATTGACAACAGTT